TTTCCCAGCTTTACTGAGATGATCAAAAAATAAAAATCACACTTATTTAGAGTGTACAGTGTGAAATTCAAATATGTGTATATTGTGACATAATTACCCCAATCAAGCTGATGAACGCACCCCTGCATGTGTGACAAGACCACTTGAGATCTATCCTCTTAGCAAAATCGAGAAATGACTGCAGCCGCAGTCACCACGCTGCACCCTGGGTCTCCAGAACGTCATCGCACCATAGCTGCAAGTTTGCACCCTTGGCCAATATCTCCCCTGGCCGCCAGCCCCAGCCCCAGTCTACCCCATCAGCTTTTGTTAGTTTGACACTTTTATAGTCCAGGCCTCAGTGAGGTCACGTGGTAATTGCCTTTCCACGTCTGGCTTATTTCACTCAGCATTATGGTCTCCAGGTTCATCCTTACACACTGAATAACATCTCATGGTTATTCAGAGGAGATGCACTTGTGAGGTGCACCCGTGTGTCTGTGAGCATTGCCCCCCCACCCCACCCCCACGCTCCTTGAGTGAGCTCCAGCTCCCAGCCCAGCTGCCAGGCCCCTGTGCTCAGTCCAAGGTCTCCCGAGGTCCCCTGACAGAGCTCTCCAGGAAGAAGCTAGAGCCCTGCACAAGCACTGGTGGTGCAGGAACCCCCCCACGCAAACCCCATTGATTCGATTTGTGATTTGCATTTCTCCATCCTGGTTGCACCTTTCAAAAAAAAAAAATATATATATATATACACACACATATCATCTCCCAGGACCTCCCCACCTGCCGTCTGCCTGGGCTCTGAGCTCCCAGTGGGGCTCATTTGCAGCTAGGGTCAAAACAGTGGTCCGCAAACTGGACAGTGTATTGGAATCACCTGGGGTGGGGTGGGAGGGCGTTAAAATACACCCACGTCACCCTTCCTGCCCTCTCACCCCACCCCAGCCTGATTGGATTAGGGTCTGGGTGTGGCCTGGTGGCCAGAGCTCCCCAGCGGATCTGAAGAACAGGCAAATTGGAGAATCCACGCACGAACCCTAGCTCTGGGTCTCCCAGCAGACAGGCCTGCCTCCCGGCTTCCGGTCCACCTCCTGGGTAGGAAGCACACACTCAGCAAAGCTGGTGGGGTGGGGGTGTCCTCCATGCTTTGTGGGCAGGGACAGAGGGAGGGGACCTTTGTGTAATCCCAGGGCCAGCTCACTTGGCCCTCACACTCTTCCCCACCTCTCTGAGGCCCCCTAGGAAGGACACCCCTGTTGGACACCCGGTTCCCCGTGTCCTTCCCAGCATACTGCATGGCGGGGGTCCAGGGGGGATGGGGCTGAGTCACCCCTGTCCACAGTTACCTCCCCCTACCCAGAAGTCCACAGGCCCCCTCTTGGTCCTGTGATATCTGGAGGCTGGGCTTGAGCCTCAGGTTTCATAAAATCTCTGATCTGTCCCTCCCTCCGTGGGGCTCCCAGGCGCTCCTGGGGGGACCTGTCCTCCCCACCCCTTCAACCCACACCCCGAGCACGGCTTCTCTTGAGGACTGTGTTGCTGCCGCCCATCTTCTAGTCTCCACTGAGACCTGGCCAGGACCAGACACTGCACCTAGAGCCACAGTCCCCGAGCCGGCCAGGTGACCAGAATCACACTCCCTACTCCCAACACCTTGTGCGATCTTTGTGCTCGTCGGGCAGATTTTGCAAGGATTTGAAGGGTAGATCATTTGCCTAAGACCAGGACTCAAACCCAGACCCGTAGTACCCCATCCCAACCTCTAGAGCCGAGGCTCTGAAATTAGTTCACATACAGGTCACTCCAGTGACTCTATCTCAGTGGCCCTAGAAGGCAGGAGAGCCCAATCGAAATGGCCCAGGACCAACCACCCTGGGAGAGTGAACTACAGGCTCTGTCCTCCATTCCTTGGTCTGAGACTTGGGTCCTTGCTGGAAGACCACTTAGAACTTCTGTTTCCTCTTCTGTGCAAATGTCTTCAGTTGAACTATCTAATTCTGAGGGGCTCTTCAACCCTGCCCGGAGGACTCCTACCCAAAGGAGGAGGAGGGAGGAGGCGGCCTTCTCTCCAGCTTTCCTCCCCTAAGGACCCTCAGTCAGATCCAAACGGTGAAGGCTGCCCAGCATTTGCACCTGCCTCTGCCTGCAGGTGGGCACCGGAGCCTCCCTCCCCCGGCCCTGGGTGGAGGAAGCTTCTTCCCCTCAAGAGTCCTGAGCTGGGAAGCCGCCTCTTCTCCCCATCCCACTTCTCCTTCCTCCCCTTGCAGTGGGCTGTGGCTCCCACGCATGCTCTCTGCCGTGCCCTGGGAGGGTGGAGAGAGCAGAGTGGACAGCTGGAACCGCCCGCCCGCCCGGCCTGGCCTCGCAGCTGGCGCCAGAAGCCCTGCACGCTGCTGAGTCAGCGTGGCCCAGGGGGCCCGGGGCCGGGGGCCCGCCCAGGCTGGCCCAGAAGGTGAGCACTCGCGTCTCCTCTCCCAGGAAAGCCCCAGATTATGGGCTGTGCCAACCCCACACCCCAACCTGTACTTACCATCCTGCCTCCCAGGCACCTGCAGGTCCCCCTGGTACTTACGCCATCCCAGGCAGGACGTGGCTGGGCCTGCCCCGTCCCCTGGGCTCCTGGAGGCTCTGGGATGAGTGAGGCTGCCCCTCAGTGCTCACAGCCAGAGGGGCCCCTGCAGGGCAGCTGGTGGCCAACTGCAGCCCTGCCACCTACTGTCACACTGGAGTGGGGCTGCCCAAGGCCAGGCAGCAGAGGGGACCAGTGACGGCAGGGGTTGTGCGGGGACCTGACCTCCCGTGGCCACGCTTGTCTGGGCTCTCTCTAGAGCCTGAGCGTGAAGGACATCCCCCGGGGGCTGGGGACGGTGAGGCCATGGGCACTCAGGGACCCTGCATGGCCCCGGCTCTTGCCCACCCAGACCCCATTTTCCTGTTCCAGGAGTTGACGGGTTTCTTCATGTGGGATCCTCAGGTGGCATTGGGACAAGGGGCCCTGATTGAAAATACAGATTCCCAGGCCCCCGCACACAGGTGTCCCAGGACACAAAACGTCTGAGCAGCACCCACAAGGGGACCGTGAACAGCGACTCTGGCATCGATTCCCAGGCCTCAGCCCCTGGTGCCCACAGGAGAGGTGAGGGATGGCTGCTCCGCGGTGTTCCCTTGGGACCCGGTGAGGATAACAGAGAAAGGGCTCTGTATTCAGTCCAGGGCCACCCGTCAAGAATCTACCTGGTGGCCCAGTGATCCTGAAGGTGGAAGAAATCGACTGGGGATTTTCTTCCTTCCTTTGCCCTCAGTAGAGACCGGCACCTGCCAGGATTATCACTGGATCCTGGGTCGGGGCTCAGAAACCCGTCACCTGCTAAGTGCAAAGACTTGAACATGACATCTGAGCCTTCTTGAACCTCAGTTTGCACCTGTGCATCACAGGGATGATCAGCCATCCCCAACACCTGTCATTCAGCTCTGCTGGGCCAACGAGATGCTCTGTGCAGTTCCTGGCGCACACCGG